GCATGTGGTGCTGGGGGATTGAACCGCGGTCCCTGTGCTTTGCCAAGCTTGTTCCAAGTAGGTGCTTTAGACCACTGAGCCATCTCGCCAGTCCCCTGAGTTAGATTTTGTTTCAAGCATAGATTGCATATTCCTGTAGTACCAGTACTTTGGATGCTGAGGTAAGAGGAACAACACAAGCTCCACATCAACCTGAGCTAAAAGGGTAGAATGTATCTCACAACAAACAAATGAACAAAAAATGATCTGAGATGTAGCTCAGTACAAAGGCCTGGGGCCAACGAGATAGCTCAGTGGACTGCAGCGCCTGCTTAGACAGGCCCAGGGGACGGGTTTGATCCCCAGTGTGCTGTGCCAGCCCTGCCCCTAAGGCAGACTGATATGGCAATTGAGATTGAGACTGGGCGTGGTGGCCTAGTGCTTGGCAGGCTGAAAACAGGAAGATCACTAAGTCCGATATGTGCAGTGAGACCCTGTAGACCATGTACTAAATACATAAAAAAAAGCCCTAGGTTTAAATGTCAGAACCACAAGATAATAAAAATTAAAAAAAAAAATTAAAGGGGCTGGTGAGATGGCTCAGTGGTCTAAAGCACCTACTTAGAACAAGCTTAGCAAAGCACAGGGACCGCGGTTCAATCCCCCAGCACCACATGCCAGCCAGCCCTGCCCCCGGTGGGCTGAGCTGGCCACACACACACACACTCACACATAAATAAATAAAATTAAAAATAGAAGATAAATCATGTGTTGTGATGCACATCTATAATCCCAACACTCAAGCAGCTGAAGCATGGGGATTATTCTAAATTTGAGACAAGGCTACAAAGTGAGTTCTAGGATAGTCTGAACTGCTTTCTGAAGGCTTGTCTCAAAAAGCCAAAAAAAAAAAAAAAGAGGTGGATATAAGCCTGGTATGGTAGAGCATGCCTGTAATCCCAGTGTTTAGGAGGCTGAGAAAGGCTCATGGCTGTGAGTTTAAGACCAGCCAGTCCTATGGAATGACGTCAAGGCCAATTTATACTACATAGTTAGACCATGTCTCAAAGCCCCACAGTGAAAAGAAATACAATTTTTTACCAGAAGTCAAACGATTTCAGATGAAAGGAAGAACTGCATTTTGAGCTAAATCAAACAAGTCTTATAGGGCTGAAGGTCACTGGGGAGGCTGCTGAAGGCAGACAAGATGAGTGTCCTTAGAGGGTGGA